CAGAAGAGCACAGAGAATAGTATAATAAAGCTCCATGTCCCCATCACATTCAGCTTCAATAATTATCAACATCTCTCACGTGTGGCCCTGCCCCAACCACACCTCCTCTCTCCTTTTTTCTTCCCTTCCTCCTGAAGTTAATTTAAAACAAATTCCACATACCATGTCATTTCACTGTGGCCAAATATTTAAAGTCTTTTCTAACAATTTTTCAGAGGATTTTTTTCTTTGATATATCCCACAGGCTTTGGTATGAAGCATTCACACTTTCTTATTTTTAGTTGGTTACTGTATTTTTATTTGCTCCTTGACCTAATGTATTTGGGGGAGTTTGTCTAAATTTCTAAATAGCTAAAATTTGGGTGGTTAAAGGATCTGGGCTGTACTTAGTTAATTGCATATGAGATTATCTTTGTGGCATAGTATGCAATCAATGCTTATAAATGCATACAGACACTTGAAAAGGTGAATATTTGTGATTCCATTATATTTAATTGTACCTCTTAATTACTTTGTTAAAATCCTCTATGCCTTTATTGTTTATGCACTCAATCTCTGACAGATTGCGTTGTGTTAAAATCTTCTAACTGTCCATTTATCTAAATATTTTTGTTGTATTTATTGTTGTTATATATTACAGGTTGAATTGTGTCCCCACCAAATTCCTATTGTGAAGTCCTAACCCCCAGTGACTGTAATTGGAAACAGGGTCTTTACAGAGGTAATCAAGTCAAAACGAGGTCATTGGTGTGAGCCCTACGCCAATAAGACTGTGTCCTTATAAAAAGGGAGCACTTGGAGAGAGATGCCCATGCAGGGAGAACGTGATGTGAAGATGAAGACACATAAAAGGAAGGCAAAGTGAAGAGTTGCAGAGGAAGACAGCCATCTGCAAGCCATGGAGAAAAGGTGGAAGCAGAATCTTCCCTTGCAGCCCTTGAAAGGAACTGACCCTGACCGTGCTGACACCTTGTTTTCAGACCTCAGTCTCCAGAACAAAGCAAGAGAGAACAGTGTTCGTTGTTCTCAGCTGCTCATCTGCAGTACTTTGTGATGGCAGCACCAGTAAACTAATATGCCGTACAACTCTCCTATGGCTCTTACGATGTGTCTTCACTATCAGTTTCTGTAAAATTGCCTTTGCCTCTAAGTTGTACCTCTGCTTGATTTTTACATTTGATTGGCAATCCTTTGTCCGGTCTTTTCATTAAGACACTGTGTCCCCTTGCACTAAGCCCAGACATTTGTCTTGTGCACATATGGAGCATGGTGATTGGTGATTGCACATGTGAGCTCTGGTCAAAATGGGTGGCTGCCATTTAGTTACTACATGGCTCTGGGCGAGTCCATTAATCCTTCTGTGCCTCAGTTTTTCCCTTTTGTAAGGTGAGGGAGCTGTAATTGTCCTTATAAGGATAGAACAAATTAAAATATTTAAAGAGCTTACAACAGTGCCTGGCCCACAGCAAGTACTTAACATATATGTGAGTCATTATGAATCCTGTCAACTTTATAATGAAGGTACTGAGATCATTTTACAGAGGCTCAGAGGAGTTAAGTCAGGAAGCTGGTGTGACAGGATTGTTGAAGGTTGGGTTGCCAGGGGGGCAAGCCCTGAGATGGAGATTAATGTGCAGGAAATATATTAGGGGGTATGCTCCAGATCAACAGGTGTGGGGGTGGAGGTGAAGCAAGCAGGATTGGGTTGGACAGAGGAAGAAGTTTAATTGTGATGCAATCACAGCAAAGGCTCCCCAGCCAATGGGAGCAGAGTGCCATGCTGTGAAGACTCCCAAGCAGCCTGTGGACAGTGAGAAACTGAGGGCTTCAGCCCATAGCCACATAAGGGTGCCATCTTGGAAGTGGACCCCAGCCCAATCCAGCCTGCAGATGACTGTGCCCTTGTCTAACACCTTGGCTGTGACCAACTGAGACTTTGAGCTAAAACCACCCAGGGAAGCTGCTCCTGAGTTCCTGACTCACAGACACTATGAGATAAAAAATGTTTGTTGTGTTAAACTACTAATTGTTGAAGGTAATTTTTTACACAGCAATAGATAACTAATACAGGGAGCTGACTTGTCCTTCAGAGTTGTTCCAAAGTGGGCTGAGGGGAAGAGGTCTTTATATCCTAAACTGACGGGTCATTAGATGTGGGCTGTCCCCCAAACCTCCCCCCCAGCCCCAAAGGACCATGACTTTGGGCAAAGCAGTTTTCTTCGCCTAAGGGCAAGTTGTGAAGAGTGACTGAGCTGACAGCTCTTGAGAGCAAAACTCTCAGCAGCTCAGGAACATGTCCCTCAGTCCTGAAAGGTCTGGGCAGAGCATCACAGCCTCCACTGAAAGATGTTTAGTGGGATCTCTCCTACTGTCCTGAAATGGGAATTAGGCTCACAGCTGAAATAAGCATAGTGCCCTACCTTTTAGTGAAAGATGCCTACAATTGGAGCCACTTTCCCGGGGATTAATAAAAAGCTGCAGATCAAGCCCTGCTTCCATCAAATACTTCCCCAATCCTCTCTGTTTCATTCTACATAGGGAGGGAGAGGAAAGAATGAAAGAAGGCAGTTGGCCTTGTGAGAGTGCAATGTTTCTTGTGGGAAGTGATGCAGAGGGGGAGGCTGCAAGGTAATCTCTCCTTGGTATTGGTTGGGCCTACTGGAAGGCAAGGTCTTCCAGTCACTCCTTGCAAATCTGTCTGGTCAGCATTCTTGCGGAGTTATTCCTGTCTGCATTTCAGGAGAGAGCAAGAAGATTGAAGAGAAACAGGGTGGAGAGGAGAGGCCTTGGGGCAGCTTCCAGTCCAGCCCTTTTGTGTGGTAAGGATGTGTATTTCTCATGAGTCACGTGGACCCCGTGGAAGATAGACCGTCTTGAGCTGCCTGTTGAACCCTCAACAGGGGGTGATGGAAAAGATCAAGCTGGAGCTCAATCTCCCATGGAAATGTATGGAAGGGAAAAGGCCCACAAGCCGTTCTCATATGTGTCCCCTCAAAGTTTCAAGCAAGGGTCAGTTATCCATACAAGCAGGAACCAGTTAAGAGAGAACTTTGGGCAGAGGCCAGTTAAGCAATGCTTGCCTCAACACAGATGCCAGGCCTGAAGAGGATGAAGTGTCCAAGAGCCAGAACCATGACTCGAACCTTCCCCCCCCCACTAAGGATCTGGCCTCCCACTGAAGTCATGAGATTGGCACTTTGACATGGTCTGATTTTTACCAACTGAAATTGACCAGAAAGTTAGGCGTATGGTCTCAGGTGTGGTTAAGGGATGGCAAAGATTCAGAAGAGCAGTGATTGGAGAAAACTGGACTGTTTCATGTTTGGAAGCCATCACACAGAGAGGGCTCAGAAACTGATTACACTGATAATTGCTGGAACAAAACCTCTTTGCCCTGCACTAGCATTCCATAAAGATTGTGTACAACCTACAAAGATGAGTAAAACATAGCATACCTGACCTCAAGGAACAAGAAATATTCTGTTGTAAACTAAGTATAAAGCACGTCTGCTGAGCAAACAAGTCTAGAATGTGGATCCTTATGTTTCTTTTCCTGCTTCCCCTCATTGTCTCCAGAGATTGATACTGTACCAATTGGAAATGATGGGTGAGTCTGGTGGAGAGGGATTCATTTCCTGAATTGCAAGTAGACTAGACTGTGGTTATTAAATCCCTAATGAATTGTTTTAGAATTGCTGAGTTTGGGTTGCAGGAAGACATCCAGGAGAGATTGAAGCCCTGAGGGCAGAGAGGAAGGCGCTGAAACCGGAGACCTGAATATTGCGAAATACCATCTTGTAGCACCCTTCAAAAGCAATTGTAGCTACAGCATCATCACTGTCGTCCTATAAAATGCTTAAATTCTCAAGACGGAGCCACCGGTGATACTGACTCATGAAATTGTTTTACAGAAAATTTCTAATGTAATCCTAAAAGTGATGCACTCTAAAACAGACATCAGAACTAAGTAATTTAAAAACAAAAAGCACTTCTTCACCGCACTGTCAGTTACCAAAATAACGAAATTTTACCTATCTGCTTATTGGAAAAGTCCTGGTTTAAAACATCTACAAGGAATTTTATTTCAGTCAAAGCAGTGTGTTGCCTAGCACTGTATTGGTGCCCTGCCTGGAGGCAACTCACCGCCCCAACCAAGCTAATGTCTTGCGTCTGGTTCAGTCGGCTCTGGCCGGGAATAAAAAGGAGACTCTGCAGGTCCGCCCCGGCTCTGAGGTTCTCCCATCCACCGGCCGCCGGGACCCAGGGCCTGCGGGCCGCGCATTCCCGCATTCTGCGCACCGACATGAATATTCAGTACCGCGTTCCAGGGCGCGCGCCGGGGAAGTACCCACAAGCCCCCGCGGCCCCGGAGCTGCGGGGACCCAGCGCTGTGGCTCGGAGCGGGGCGAGGTCACCCGGCGCTCCCCGAGACCTTGGCCCCCGGCCCGGCGGCAGGGGCGGAGGCGGGCCAGCCGGGCCGCCCGCCAATCGGCGCCTTGCGGGCCAGGAGCGCGAGGCCGCGGGAAGAGGGGGTAGCGCCGCAGAGCCGAGGACGCTGGTCCTCAGAGCCCCCGGGAGAGACTGGTGGAGGACTAGAGATGACGAGAGGAGGGAGACTGGGGCGGGAACACGGCAACACAGTCACAAGCTATGACGGCCTTAATGCCAACTCCATAGCGCAGCGCCTGTGCACCGCACAGCCTGACGGGAGCCTCACCTTCCCGGCACAGGCAGGGCCCGCGCTGCGGGCTCGCCACCGCCCACCACCGCGGGGCACGCCGGGAGAGAGCCGTTTTCTCCCACCCTCCAGTAAACGAGGGAGAGGAGGATATTTCCGGTGGTAAGACAGTCTTTACGGAAAGGGTGGGGCCGGCCTGGTTCCGCCCCTCACGCCCGGCAGGGGCGGGGCGAAGGGTGACAGCGTCTCGGCCTGCGCTAAGGCCCGCCCCTGCACCGGAAAAAGGAAGGCGGGAGAGTCGATCTGGAATGGGGAGCGAGATCTCCTGAAACGACTGCAGGCGGCGAGGAGAAAGGGGGCGGGGCCCGGCTCGGAGGGGCGGGGCGACTCGCCTTCCCCTCGGGTCACGCGCGGCAGGAAGTCGCGCCCTCAGCCGAGTATCGAAATGGGGACCTCCCTGGACATTAAGATTAAGAGAGCGAACAAGGTTTATCACGCCGGGGTAAGTAGGGTGGGCGGGTCTGCAGGTTCCGTCGTCTGCAGGGCCCCGCGCAGTTCTGGGTGTCGCTGGGCCGGGCAGAGCGCTCCGCCAGGTGTGGCCCGCGCGCGGCCCGCCGCCCTTCGGAGGACCCCGGGAGGAGTCCCCGCCACGTCCTCGGGCGTACGGGCCGAGGGGCCGGCGCCTGAGCTGCAGCTTTAACCGTTGGCCCTTTGAACATCCGCTCGGCCTTGGGTCCAGAGCTTGAGCTGTCCATTGAGGGCGGAGGAGCTTGGTGTCCACGTGCCCCGTTCCCTCACTCCCGACGTGACTGCAGAGGTCTTAATGAATGAAAGGCAGAATTCGCCTTGAAAAAAAAATACGCACTTCAGGGTCCGGTCAGCTCTGACACCATGCAAAAGTTATTCGTGTTTTTACTCTTTGAATGATGTACAGAGGGCATGGCATATTAAAATGCAAGTACAAAAAAAATAAAAATCTTGATGACGGCATTAACAAGTTTTGTGCTACTCTCCAATCATTTAACCTCCTCTGGCCTCAGTTTCCTTATTTGCAAAACGCGGATGATGCAAGGTTCCTGTAGCTCAACCCTACTCTGCATCAGAATCAGTCACCCTGGGAATTTTAAAGTATGATTGCCCGGGTCCCACTCCCAAAGATACCATTGTAATGTGCAGCCAGCGCTGAAATCACAGCTAGCTCACACTGTGGAATAAAATTGAGAGTAGTGGTTGGTCCCATAAATGCAGCTCAGTCTCAAAAGGGATTGAATACCAGGCAGGCAAAGATCATGAACAGATGCTAAACCCTTTTGAGTGCAGCACTTCTGGGGAAACCTGATGTTTACACAGACTCAAATGGTCACCTCCCAGATTATTAATTTTAGAGGGAAAAAGCTACCTTCCTAATGGAGGAATCAGATCATCACCAGTCTAGCCACGATCAACAGTTAGCATGACCTCACTATCACCACTAATGATACTGCTGACAGTACTGGCATGATCATAGAGGGTCTGGCCTGATGTGCTGAAAAGGGAACAACTCTTTTATGTAGTATTCCTACCAAAAAGGTTCAACTAAATCAATTCATAAGGAAACAATCAGGCATTTCCAAATTGAGGAACACTGAAATAATTGGCCTGCATTCTTAAAAAATGTGAATGTCATGAAAAAACGGGAATTTTTCTAGATTAAAAGAAACTAGAGGGATATGACAACCAAATACAGTGCATAATTTTTGAGAAATAAGTTTGGGTATGGGCTATATATTAAATAATAGCTTTGTATTGAATTTCCCTAGTGTGATATTTGTATTTTGGCTATGCTATGTAGGAGAATAGTCCACATACTGAAGTATTCAGGAGTAAAGTATGACAATAACTGAATTTTCAATAGTCCAACCAGATTGTGTGTGCGTGCACGTGAGAAGAGAGAGAGCAAATAGGGCGAAGTGTTAATAATTGACAACTCTAATTGAAAACTTTATGAGTCTACTTTATATTCTTTTTTAATAACAGTTTTATTGAGATGTAATTCAGATACCATAGTATTTACCCATTTAAGGTATAGAATTCAGTGGTTTTAATATATTCACAGTTGCTCAAATAATTACCACCATCTAATTTTAGAACATTTTGATCTACCCAAAAAGAAACCTTGTACCAATTAGCAGATATTCCTCATCGTCCTTACCTTTCAGCCCCTGGCAATCAGAGATCTGCTTTCTGTCTCCATGGATTTGCCTATCCTGGAAATTTCATATATGTGGCCTTTTGTGACTGGCTTCTTTTGCTTAGCATAATGTTTTTCAGCATAATGTTCATACCTGTAGCGTGTATCAGTTCCTGGTTCCTTTTTAGGGCTGAGTAATATTCCATTGTATGGATAGGCCATCTTTTATTTACCCATTCATCTGTTGATGGACATTTATTTGGGTTGAAAAGTGAACTTTTCAGCTTTTATGAATAATGCTACTGTGAACATTCTAGTACAAGTTTTTGTGTGAACATATGTTTTCATTTCTCTTGGATATATGCAGAGGAATGGAATTGCTGGATGATATGATACTTTTGTGTTTAACTTTTTTTTTTTAAGAGAGCCAGCACATGCATGAGCTGGAGGGGTGGGGAGGGCAAAGGGAGAGAGAGAATCTTAAGCAGGCTCCATGCCCAGCACAGAGCCCAACGAGGGGCTCTGTCTCATGACCCTGAGATCATGACCTGAGCCAAAATCCAGAGTCAGACACTTAACTGACTGAGCCACCCAGGCGCCCCGCTATGTTTAACTTTTTGAAGACCCATCAAACTGTTTTCCAAAGCACCTGTGCTGTTGTACATTCCACCAGCACTGTGTGCAGGCTCCAGTTTCCTTTCTACTTTGTATTCTCTGTTTCTTCTTTGTTAAGAGATTAACTTTTCTGTAGCTTGGAAATTCAGAATAAGAACTGGGGGAGGCAGTGATAGGAGACTATATACATTTTGCTTTAATAATTATTATTTCATCAGAAATTCAACATACTCCACTCATAGATGTTCCAGCTGAGATGTTTTCTGTGGTTTTAAATAATGGTACAAGTAATGAAAAGTACATTAAGAAAAGGTGCAAGAACTGAAGTGGTAAAGTTGACCCAGCCCGAGGGCCTCGTGGTCGGGAGAGAGCTGAAGGTGGTGTCAGCTTTGCTCAACCAGTGCTCGTCCCTTGGTGCCATGAATGGGAACAGAATCTGCAGTGGCTGGCTTATGGCCGTGTTTCTTAATCTTGTGTCGGGGGACCATATATGGCAATTATGAAAGAAAAATCAAGGTAATTTCTCCTGAACAGATGGTTGCTATATGTCATTTAGAAGCCAAAAAAAAAAAGTTACTAGACTGAAGTCTAATCAGTCAACAAAAGTTCTGTATTTGGACCTATGTGCCTGTGGCTCAGGTATTAGACTCTGTCATCTGGGGTTCAGGATAGGTGGAATAGGTGGCCAGCGCTGCCCTGGCTGCTTCCTAAGCTCCCGGTGGCAGGACCCTTGCTGGCCAGTTGCTTGGTGGTCTCAGTGCCCGTGGACGGTGTGTGTTGCAGGCATAGGTTGTGCCATGATTGTGCAAGGGGTGCCTCTCTTTCCCATTCTCCCCACTCTTACTGGCTGCAGGTGGAACTAATGCAAGTTTTCGATGTTCTCTGTACATCTTAACAGCATTGGTAAAGTTTCCGTTACTAAGGATTAGACTTCTCAGCGGGCACCTGTAATTGTCATAGTTTGTTTGACGTGGCTGCCACCCACGTTAGCCTGATCTTTAGGTCCTAAGTGAGTGTCGTTCACACGAAGCACGTTTGCCTGTGTAGCCACATAAAGCAGTCTTCTCGGGACGCCTGGGTAGTTCAGTTGGTTAAGTGTCTGACTCTTGATTTCGGCTCAGGTCATGATCCCAGGGTCCTGGGATGGAGTCCTGCATTGGGCTCTCTGCTCAGCGGGGAGCCTGCTTCTCCCTCTTCCTGCCACTCCCCCTGCTTGTGCTCTCTCTTTCTGAAAAATAGGTAAATAAAATCGTAAAAAAAAAAAAAAAGGAGTCTTCTCTTGCACTCAGAGGTGCTTGGGAAGCACTGGCGTAGAGTTGTGTTAGCCAGGCTGCGTCACTCCGTTTTACTAATGAGGAAACTGAGGCCTAAGCGGGTTGTGGAATTTGCCCAAGGCTTCCCAACTCAGACAGCCTGGATTCCAGCTCAGGCCAGACAGCTTTGTGCTTCCAACAATCTGTGATACCGCCTCCTTAAGAGTGGCCATTTTTGTGCAAATGGAAGAATTTATAATGTAGAAATAGTTGTTATCCATTTCCTAGGAGTGCTTTAAATAGCACTGTAATATTTCCATTTAAAAAGCTATGACTTTGGGATGCCTGGGTGGCTCAGTCGGTTAAGCATCTACCTTTGGCTCAGGTCATGATCCCGGGGTCCTGGGATTGAGTCCCTCATCCGGGCTCCCTGCTCAGCGGGGAGTCTACTGCTCCCCCTGCTTGCGTGCTCTCTCTTCTCTCTGACAAATAAATAAATACTTTTATTTATTTATTTATTTATTTATTTGAGAGAGAGAATGAGAGACAGAGAGCACGAGAGGGAAGCGGGTCAGAGGGAGAAGCAGATTCACGGCTGAGCAGGGAGCCCGATGCGGGACTCAATCCCGGGACTCCAGGATCATGACCTGAGCCGAAGGCAGTCGCTTAACCAACTGAGCCACCCAGGCGCCCCAAATAAATAAATATTTTAAAAAATTAAAAAATAAAAAACTATGACTTCTACTCAGAAAATGTACTGATTCTGTTACTATGCTTTTCAGTGTTTTAGTTGTCATGAAAGCATTTGAAAATGGCTTTCATTCTGTGGATACCAGAGAACCTAAGTTGTACTTGGGTTTAAAATTGGCATTTGGGTTTTTTCCTAGGAAAAAAATGCTTATTGACGAAATGATGGACTTTTAAAATAGTCACTGTTGAATCATTTAAAAAATATATAAATGTAATACATGCTGTGTGAATGACTTAACATTTTACAAAAGGCTGGAAAGTGAAGAGTAAGTTCTTCCTCCTCTTTCCCCCTTTTCTGTCCCTGGAGGTGTCCGCTGACACTTCGTGTACTATTCCAGGCATTTCCTGTGACAAATGGTGTACGTGTGCATACACACACACACAAGCGTGCGTGCACGCGCAGCTTGTTCTTTCTGCTTAACGGTGTATCTTTATCTTGGACATCTGTCAGTCTCATCCTTTTGGAGGTTTTTTATTAAATCCAACCAAACTTACTCAGCCAGTTTCTGATGATCTCATGAGGCTTGCAGGTCGTAAAGAGAGACAGGTAAATACATAAACAAAAGGTGATCAAGTGCTCAAATAGCATCTGTGGGATCTGATGAGCACAAAGCAGGGCATTGACATTTTGTGGGCGGAAGATAGGGTCCTCTGGAGCCTCACTGAGGTTGTGATGCTTGCACCTAGTTTTGAAATGTAAGCGCCAGGCTGGGG